ACGCTGCCAGCATGGCCTTCACTGCCAGTGTTGACCTCGGTCACCTGGCCGAGGAGAGTTTGCTGGTATTTGCTTTGTCATCAGTGACTGCCACCCTCCCCCCCTTACTGTCTTCTCTGGAAGATGCCACTAAGCACAGGCCACACTTAAGGGGTGGGGACTCAGGTCCACCTTCTTGGGGGGTATCTACATACATTATTTGGAATTCTGCTTGAGAGATGCGTCCATTATCTCCCACTACTTGTTTATTTAATCTTTAATTTACAGCAGAATGGACGCATGTGTCCTTATGTTACACTGTGGGTTATGACCTGGGGTTATGCTATTTTGTCACTCAAGTTGTCCCAGCATTGGCCACCGGGAGCTCTTTTAGTTTGGTTCCTGGGCCCCGTTGACATATCCCCGTCTGTTTTTCCCTCCAAGAGATTTTTAAATACATATTTCTAAAATTTTTAATTGTGGTAAAGAGCACATAACATGAAATTTACCATGTTTTTTCTTTTTTTTTTCTTTCTTTTTTTTTTTTTTTTTTTGAGGTTGAGTCTCACTCTGTTGCTCACACTGGAGTGCAGTGGAGTGCTCTCAGCTCACCACAACCTCCGCCTCCCAGGTTCAAGTGATTCTCCTGCCTCAGCCTCCAGAGTAGCTGGAATTACAGGTGCACATCACCACGCCCAGCTAATTTTTGCATTTTTTAGTAGAGACAGGGTTTCACCATGTTGACCAGGCTGGTCTCGATCTCCTGACCTCATGATCCACCCGCTTCAGCCTCCCAAAGTGCAGGGATTACAGGCATGAGCCACCGTGCCCTGCCAATTTCCTACCTTTTTAAGGCTTGAATGTCCCCACGAATTCTTAAATAGTGTGATAATAAGAAATATCTATTCCGACTTTGTCCAGGATTCCTGGCACAGGCTGCTAAAATCCTTGGAATCCCTGAGTGACAAGCTTGCCTTTGGGATGCTGACGAGATGGCTGGTGGCTGGGAGCCCCTAGACAGCTTCAGGGTGGGGGTGGTGCCCTGAAGGACCAGTCGCTGGTTAGAGGGTTGGAATCTTCAACCCCATCCCCTGACCCTGGGAGGGGGAAGGGGCTTGAGGTTGAGTTCGTTCCTGATGGTTGATGGTTTGATCAGTCAAGCCTATTTAATAGAACCTCCATCAAGGCCCCTAAATGATGGGGTCCAGGGAGCTTCCGAACTGACGAGCACATCAAGGTGCTAGGAGTGTGTGCCCAGAGAGGACCCAGAGGCCCTGGCCACCCCGCACCTCTTCCATCTGGAACAGCCTCTTCCATCTGGCTGTTCTGGAGCTGATCCTTTCTAATAAACTGGTAGCAGTAAGTAAACTGTTTCCTGAGTTTTGTAAGTCATTCTAGCAAATGAGGAAGAGGTTGTGGGAACCCTCGATTTACAGTTGGTCTGTCAGAAGCAGCGGTGGCCCCAACGGGAGACTGGCAGCTGAGGTGGGGGCAGTCCTGTGGGACTGAGCCTGCCTTCGGGGTCTGTGCTAACTCTGGGCAGTTGGTGTCGGCATTGAACTGAGTTGTTGAACACCCCCCGTTTGTGTCTATAGAGACCTGGAGAATTGGTTGGTGTGGAAAATCCACACATTTGGTGTCAGGGTGTGGTGGTGTACAAACACCCCTGAAGCCCTCTTATGGACCACCCCAGGGCCTGCTAGTTTCCGGGAAGTCACCACTCGAGAGGCAGAGGGCAGCAGATGGTGGCAGATGCAGGCACAGGGGCTCCTTACCCACCCCCGCTCCCCTGTGCAGCCAGCTGGGCTGTGCAGCCAGAGGGCGAGGTCCTCCTTGGGTGGAGCATTTCTCTGCACACAGCTGTCGTTAGCTCAGTACAACGTCACTGAGAGCTGGGAGAACCTGGGCCTTGGGATGAGGAGGGGTCTTAGAGAGATCTCGTACCTTCTCCCTGGTGCAGGGTGGGGGTGGTGGGCAGAGGTGGGACACGGCGATGGGGAAACCACCCAGCCAGGGCCCCTCTCACTCTGCAGGGGGTTGGCATCCGGCCCCCATGGTGCCTTAGAGCCTCTCCATATTCCATAACTCAAGTTGTAAAATCATAAAAACCAGAACTGTCCGGAGCCTCTTAGAAAAGCCGGGCACGTGCAGTGCAGGCTGGACTTGAAGAACACAAAATTCACCCTTTCATGGAATGCACGGCCTTTCCAGAGGATCCTCACCTGTGCGGGCTGCTGGCCCTTCTTGGAAAGCATTTGACTACCTGAGAGCAGCCCTGGGACACCCCCCATTCCCCCTCAGCAGCCCTGGGACACCCCCCAGAACCCCTCATCAGAAGCCCTGGGACACCCTCCATCCCCCCAGGCAGCCCTGAGACACCTCTAGACCACCCCAACCAGCAGCCCTGAGACACCCTCCATCCCCCCCAGCAGCCCTGGGACACCCCCCAGACCATCCCAACCAGGAGCCCTGGGACATCCCCCCATCCCCCCAGCAGCCCTGGGACACCCCCTAGACCACCCCAACTAGCAGCCCTGGGACACCCCCCAGACACCCTCCATCCCTCACTCAGCAGCCCTGGGACAGCCCCCATCCACCCCCCTCAGCAGCCCTGGACACCCCCATCCCCCACTCAGTAGCCCTGGACACCCTGTTAGGGCCCCAGTTTCTCTACCTCCCCAGGGGCTCTCCTCTCAGACCCCAGCGACCCCAGGTGAGGTCCTGGGGGTAAGTCCAGGTGTTGGGCCTCCCTGGTGTCTACCTCACTCTCTGTGCTTCTCCAGGCATCAGCCCCTCTGCAGGGATGGGACAGGAGCCAGCGGAGGCGGAACCCTGGGCCAAGAGTCAGTTCCCCATCTCAACGTGCTGGGCTCCGGGGAAAACTGCTGTCTCCACCTGGACTCCATCTCCTGTCTGTCAACCAGGACTAGCCCTCTGCAGGCTTCCAGCTCCAGCCTGGCACTGGCTTGCAGTTGTCAGGATAGACACCTCTGAGCCTGAGGGTGGAGGCCCTGGGTGGCTCTGGGTGGGGGGTGAGCAGCAGCTCTGACAGCGAGGCGCATGGGGCAGGGCGCGGCAGCTGGAGGCCCTACCACATGTCACCGAACTCTACCAGAGGGAGGCCAGGAAGCCCAGACACCAGAACCACTCCAGAGCCCTCTGAAGGCATGACAGCCGGGGAGGAAAATGAGTCCCCAGACGCAGGGGCAGAGCAGAGCTGCCGGGAACCAGCAACAGCAGCATGGCCAGGGCGGCTGCCAGCCAAACCCGGGAAACAGGACCGAGCTGGGGCACCAGCCACGCAGAGAGCATAGGCCCCTCCCAGGGCCCTCACCCACTGCCCTGGGGGATGCAGTTGCAGGGAGGAGGAGAGGAGGTGGCCTTCTTTCCTCAGCCAGACCCTGCCAGAGCCTCCCCCCGCCCCCTTCCCCTGCACCCCGTCCCCTCCTCTCTCCCACCAGAAGGCTGGCCTGGCACAAGGACGCCCTTTAATTGTTGGAAACAGGAACGTGGAATATGAACCACAAGGACACTGGGTTTCAATCTGGCTTCAGGATCCAGGCACACAGTGCTTCAAGCCCGGTCCGCATCTGCGGCATGGGCCTCCTGCTAGGGCGTCTGGGAAAACCTAGACTCTGGGGACCGGCAGGGACTCAGCTGCAGGCGGTGGTGGCCTGTCCCAACCTGGGGCCATGTGGAGGGCAGTCCTGGGCCTGCAGACCACCCCAAGCAGGAGTAGACATACCTGCCCTTCCTCCAGGGACACCCAGGGAGGCCCGGCACCCAGGAAACATCCATGGCTGAAGCAGCGCAGCCGGAGCCTCGCAGCAGGCAATGCAGGACTACGGCCCTCGCTGCCTCCTCCCGCCTCGAAGCCCAGCTAGGGTGGGGGTCATTCCCATCTCCATTTCCACAGCCAGCCCCTGTGCTGAGTTCACGGCCGGCCCCCGTGCTGAGGCCGTGCAGGCCTGGCCCAGGAGGGTGGACGTTTCCTTTGTCTTTTTTTGAGACGGAGTCTCGCTCTGTTGCCCAGGGTAGAGTGCAGTGGCGAGATCTCGGCTCACTGCAACCTCTAGCTCCCGGGTTCAAGCGATTCCCCTGCCTCAGCCTCCAGAGTAGCTGGGATTACAGGCGCCCACCACCACACCCGGCTCATATTTTTTGTGTTTTTAGTAGAGATGGGGTTTTGCTGTTGGCCAGGCTGGGCTCCAACTCCTGGCCTCAAGTGATCCGCCTGCCCAGGCTCCCGAAGTGCTGGGATTATAGGGGTGAGTGAGTCCCCATGCCTGGGCAAGGTGGGCGTTTCCATCCACATTTGTGGGTGAGGACTGTCCCGGTCACGCAGTTCCCATGTCGTGGTGGCAGGACACGCACCTGCCACCCATACCCCTCCTTAGACAGCATATGGGGCAACTGAGCCAGGCTGGGAAGAGGAGTGGGCTGCAGACTCGGGGAGGGTCTGGGGGGGTCCCTAGAGCTGTGGGTGGCCTCACTCCCACAGTGGCTGCAGCACCCACCCACCTGGCTGTGCCGGCCCCTGGGACCCTGCCTCTGGCTGGCAGCACAAGCTTTAGGTGGTCACCGTACTGCTACTAAGAGATGGGTAAACTGAGGCACAGAGAAGGCTGGTGAATGGCTGCAGTGGGTGGTTCCTAGAAATTAATCAGCTCCCTCCTCCCACCTCTACTCCTACCCCCATCCCTCCAGCAAGACCAGAACTTTCGGGAGGAGCAGGGTCTGAGAGGCACCCCCTCAGTCAGCTGACTTTGCTGTGCAGGGCCCCCCAGCACAGTTTTGGGGCTCAGGTTGGGGGTGGTCCCTGAGCCTAGTGCCTCACTTCCACTCCTCCTTTGGCCTCTCCCCACCCCCCGTGGCCAGCCTGGCATCAGCGGCCTGGGCACCACGGCTGGGCCTGGACACACGAGCTGCATTCAGATCTGGTCCCTGACGAGGAGGCGGCGGGAACACAGTGTTCTCTTGGTGCCTGGCCAGACAGCCTGGCCCCTACCCTCCTCCACTCAGGCACTTTCAGCAGTGGCAGCGGAGTCTCAGGCCCTGCCCACTCCCAGACACACACTGTCTGTAGCCCAGGGCCTGTGGGTGCCCCCTGCCAGCCTGTGGGACAGCGACACAGGTAAGGGAGGTAATGGGGGAACCCTGCTGCCCTGGGCGAGGGGACAAGGACCCCACAGGGGCCAGGCCTGGCCACCACTGACCCCAGGCTGGAAAACCAGGACATGACCCTCCCCCACCCTGCTTGCAGGTTGTCACGGGACACGTGGCCCTGCCCAGGCATACTGGGAAGTGTCCTGGCGGCACTCCACTCAGCGCAGGTCCCGAGGAGCTACAGGCATGACTCTGCCTTGAGAACTCCCCCCAGCCTGTTCCTTCCCAGCCTTGGCTCATGAAGCTCCTCCAAGGACCACAGGCCTTCCATGGCGCAGCCCTGCCACGAAGCCTCCCCACGTCTTGCCTCCAGCATCACCTGGCCGAGATGGACCTAGCGCATCCTTCCAGGGCCGAGGTCATGGCCACATAGCCCCCAGTCAGGAGGGATGACGCCCCCTCCCAGAGGCCAGCAAGGTGGACATGGAGACCCCACTCTTTGGAGCAGAAAATGGTGTTGGATGAGGGGCAGAGCTCGTCCCGGGTCACCAGACCTAGGACGCCAGAGTCAGGATCTCACCCGAGTCTCCAGCGGGTGCCTGGCCATGGGTTCAGCTGTTCCACCTCTGTAAGGATTCGGGGAGCAGGAGGAGAGAGCCCCTGAAGTGAGGGGACAGTGGGGCCTTGTCATTGGGAGGACAGGTGTGTGGTGAGAGCCAGTGATGGGAGCATGGCCTGGACTGGCCAGGAAGTGGTAGGCCAGGGGAGTAGAGGTAACAGGGCCCACTGACAACAGGGCATCTTCTCCAGGGCCTCATTCAGTCTCAGACCAAGTTTATGCATCATTTTCCTCCTATTGACAATTGATCAGCCACCAGCATGGATGCCTCAGGGCCACCAGCACGGATGGCCGTCAGCCAGGAGGAGATGGGGGTCCTGGGGGTCCACACTAGTGTGCTGTCATCTCAGAGCTGGAGCAGCCAGGGAAGGGAAAGACATTTGGGGGGCACAGCTGGCCGCCACCGTCCGCTGAGGTGGGTCTACAGCAGGGGCAGGAAAGAGAATGTTCCAGCAAGAGGTGGAACCCCACTGATAGCCCCAGCCTGCCCCCTCACCCACCTGTCCCCCATCTCAGTGAGGACAGCAGGTGTGTTCTGATACCCTGTCCCTGCCTCCGTCCCGGCTGTAGGCTGGTCCCGTGTCACACCTGGGGGCCTCTTGCTGCTCCGTGGCCTCTGAGGCCCCAGGCACATGCTGGGTCCTGCCCAGCCCTCCCTTCTTCTGCTCTCAAGGGGACCCCTCCAGGAGACCCCTCCCTGCCCAGCGGCCCAGGGGGCTGCGTTTCCCAGCTGGCGCCCGAGAGTGGCGCCCGCGTAGTAATTCCTAATTAAATAGAGCACAAAACAGGGGCCGGCCAACGATGAGCCAAACCAGTTGGATTTTGAAGAGCAAATATCCCGTTAGCACTACTTCTGCCGAGTCCACATGGCCGTGAAGCGGAGACATACGGGAGCTCGGTAATGAATATGGAAACCTTCTTTTCTGGTATTGCTCCCTCATAAACGAAGCCGCTTTATGGAACACGAGCAGAGGGAAAACGACTGCGCCCAGCCAGATTTATCTGCTCAGATGCTTTGTAGTGCTTCAGATTAATAAAAATATTTAATAAAGAATCAAGAGGGTTTATCTGTAATGCAAAGAGAATCACATTGCCTATATTTTTATTACTGAAAAATTGGAAGCAGGAAGAAATAATGATATAAGCTACCGTATAAATGACAAAAATACCCATTCTGGCTATGTGCTTTGTGCGCCAGTCCCTCGCCGCCCTCTAAACATAATCTATTCGCGTGCCTCTTTCAGCTGATTCCAGAGCCTGCTCTGCACTGTGGAGTTTAATATCACCCTGTTCTCAACTGCACAGGGAAGTGATTAAATAAGAAATAAATTCGGCTGTCATTGCATTTAAAATCAAATCAAGGATCATTTGTTACTCCAAATGAAGCAGTTCTCCTTCCCTGCCCGTAAGTAGGCTGCTGTTCGCTGAACCATTTAGGGATGTATATATAGTAAACTCCCGCATAATGGCTTGTACTCTGATATGATCTTTATGGCGCTGCCGCTCCGAGCGCCGGGAGCGCCCATAAGCAGCACGTGGCTTTTTTAATTTAAAGTTATAGGTACGAGACTTCGCGGTCCATCCGAGTCTCACTGGAGGGGGCCCGTGTGAGATGTGGGGGCCACTGCCCGGGGCCCCTCCCCCTGCATATCCGCTCAGCTGCAACCAGCCCTCCTGTCCCCGGAGGAGGATGGGGGAGGGGAAGGAGCTAAGTCAGGTCCTCAGTGATGCACCCCTAATCCCAACCCAACCCTAAAGGGCAGGAGGGTCCAGGAAGCTGCTCACAGGCAGGAAGTGGAGGAGGGGGCTCTGCTGAGCTCCGTGGTGGGAGGGGAGTGCCGGGAGATAGGACGGCACAACGGACCCCATCCCATGCATCCTCCTCACCTAGAGTTGCCGTCTCCAGGCTCGAGCGCCCCCCGATGCCTGGCAGTGGCCGAGAAACAGAGAAGGGCTGGCGGGGACGAGGAATCGGAGCAAGTCGACTTGGGGCATCGCGTGGAGGGCATCGTGGGCAGCTGTGTGAGGGGCCAGCCCAGTTGCTGGGCTAGCTTGAGGGCAGCGGGCCGCTGTCCCGTCATGCCCGTGTCCCCGTCCTGTGGCTGCAGCAAGAAAGCCCACAGCCTGGAGGGCTTAATTCAACACACGCTTTCTAGAGGCCGGACGCCCACAATCAGAAACAGGCTCCTTCTGAGGGCCCGAGGGGAGCCCCTTCCGCCCTCCCGGTCCCGGGGCCTGTGGCTGCAGGTCCCCAGTCCCTGCCCCAAGGGCCTGCGTCTCTAACTCCCCTTCCTGTAAGGACGGTTTGTGGGGGCACATTGGATGAGGGGCCCCCCACTCCAGGATGGCCTCATCTAAACCAATCGCCTCTGCATGACTCCGTTCCCAAATAAGGTCCCTACGGAGGTTCTGGGGTTGGGACTTGGACGTATCTTTCTGGGATGACACAGTTCAGCCCGTGGCAGTCACCCTCACACGGATCTTAGGGTCTTATCTGTTCTTATCTGGCATCGACAGGTTGGAGAGAGGCAGGGTGACTGGTCTTATCTGTTCTTTTTTTTTTTTTTTTTTTGAGATGGAGTCTTGCTCTGTCCCCCAGGCTGGAGTGCAGTGGCCGGATCTCAGCTCACTGCAAGCTCCGCCTCCCGGGTTTACGCCATTCTCCTGCCTCAGCCTCCCGAGTAGCTGGGACTACAGGCGCCCGCCACCTCACCCGGCTAGTTTTTTGTATTTTTTAGTAGAGAAGGGGGTTTCACCGTGTTAGCCAGGATGGTCTCGATCTCCTGACCTTGTGATCTGCCCGTCTCGGCCTCCCAAAGTGCTGGGATTACAGGCTTGAGCCACTGTGCCCGGCCGTCTTATCTGTTCTTATCTGGCATCGATGGGTTGGAGAGAGGCGGGGTGACGGATTAGTACGTTTCCTGAAACTTTATGCCTTTAAATGCTAAAGTCAGCTGGGCATGGGGGCTCATGCCTGTAATCCCAGCACTTTGGGAGGCCGAGGCGGGCAGATCACATGAGGTCAGGAGTTCGAGACCAGCCTGGCCAACATGGAGAAATCCCCTTTCTACTAAAAATACAAAAATTAGTCGAACCTGGTGGTATGTGCCTGTAATCTCAGCTACTTGGGAAGCTGAGACAGGAGAATCGCTCGAACCTGGGAGGCGGAGGTTGTAGTGAGCCAAGATTGTGCTGCTGCACTCCAGCCTGGGTGACAGAGCGAGACTCTGTCTCAATAATAATAATAATAGTGATAAGGCCAGGCGCGCTGGCTCAAGCCTGTAATCCCAGCACTTTGGGAGGCCGAGACGGGCGGATCACGAGGTCAGGAGATCGAGACCAGCCTGGCTAACACGGTGAAACCCCGTCTCTACTAAAAAAAAATACAAAAAACTAGCCGGGCGAGGTGGCGGGCGCCTGTAGTCCCAGCTACTCGGGAGGCTGAGGCAGGAGAATGGCGTAAACCCGGGAGGCAGAGCTTGTAGTGAGCCGAGATCCGGCCACTGCACTCCAGCCTGGGCGACAGAGCGAGACTCCGCCTCAAAAAAAAAATTAAATTAAAAAAAAAAAATAATAATAGTGATAAATAAATAAATGCTAAAGCCTACTAGGCTATTTTTTGTCGGAAAATCTCCTAAAACTCACCTCCCAGTGCCCTGCCTTCTCTGGGAGAGCCTGGGAGTCAGACTGGGAGAGCATCCTGGAGGTGGTGTCGGCCTCCTCTCCCTGCCTTTTTCCTCCTTCTACCAGAAGGAAGGCCACAAGCTGCCACCCACCTCTGGCTCCTGGCCTGGCCCTTCTGGCCAGGGCTCCCGTACCCGCCACTGTGCCCCAGGCGTGCGGCCTTGCTGACGCTGTCCCCTCCCCCAGCTGCTGAACACGAGTGGGTCGGTCTCCAAGCTTCAAGCTTCTTGAGCCCTGTGAAGTGCTCTGCTCACCTGTTGATTGGGACTCGGGTGAACACCAGGCAGCGGAGGCAGTCAGAAAGGATGCAGTGGCCGGGCACGGTGGCTCAAGCCTGTAATCCCAGCACTTTGGGAGGCCGAGACGGGCGGATCACGAGGTCAGGAGATCGAGACCATCCTGGCTAACACGGTGAAACCCTGTCTGTACTAAAAAAATACAAAAAGTTAGCCGGGTGCGGTGGCGGGCGCCTGTAGTCCCAGCTACTCGGGAGGCTGAGGCAGGAGAAAGGCGTGAACCTGGGAGGCGGTGCTTGCAGTGAGCTGAGATCGCGCCACTGCACTCCAGCCTGGGCAATAGAGCGAGACTCTGTCTCAAAAAAAAAAGACAGAAAGAAAGAAAGAAAGAAAGAAAGAAAGAAAGAAAGAAAGAAAGAAAGAAAGAAAGCAAGCAAGCAAGCAAGCAAGCAAGCAAGCAAGCGGAGGCCAGGGGTCCCCAGCCTGAGGTGTGGGAACTGGGCCCCTTCCTCTGGGCTCCTGGGGGAGGTGGGCGCACCGTGTTTCCCGGGCAGCTCTGTCCCGGCTGCTTGCAGGCCCCTCCCTTGAGCAGGTTGATTTTCAGTGCTCAGAGAACAACAAATCACTCTCAGACAGTAATGGGGATGAACAACAGACACTTAATTATGAGGCCACGAGACAGCGCGATTATTAATTTTAAATTGTGCAACCCAGTCCTGAAGGCTGAGCCTGGAGTGCTATCCCAGGGGCTCACGGGGGCCGGGGAGCCACAGGGCTGGCCAGGGCTCAGAGACTCGGCTGGGCACTGGACTTGGGGGGCACAGGGCCGTGAGGCTGGGGGACACCTGGGTGGCCCTGACCTCCCCCTCCCCACAGCAGAAGGCCCAGGGAGATGGCTCTGCAGAACCTGGCGTGGTCCGGGCTGCAGGCTACCTCCCATGGGCTGACGGGGGTGTGGGCGGGGCCAGGACTCTGGCGCCCCAGAGGCTGGTCTGCCAGAGTACTCCAGGACTGATGAGGGTGCGACCGTGCCAGCTCCCCACATCCACTGGGGGCCAATTCTGGCAGAGGGGGCCCACGCGGGGATGGCCTAACCCTTCCCAAAGCAGTCAGAGCAGGGGCTTTACTCTGTGCCTGGCTGGGGCCTAGGCCTATGACCACTCTCCTAGCCAGAGTTGGTGGTCAGTGTCTGCTGGGCAAGGAGGGCATCTCGGAGGAGACGCAGGGACCCCTGGAGGGGATCCCAAAGGCAGATCGGATCCCAGGTCCCTGGAGAGTCACAGACCAGACACGCGGCATCAGCTACTGTACAGAGGCTCAAGGCGGAAACCAGTGCAGGGCTGACCTTGAAAGGTGATGGGGGGCCTGTCCCCAAGGCTCGATGACACTTGTGTTCCTTTCTAGGGCTCCTCAGCTCTACCCAAATTTGCCATCTCCCAAAGTCCTTTCATCTCTAGCCACAGGGGTTCTGGATTTCCTCCGTGTCTATGGGGACTCAGGAGCTGCGGAGGTGGCCGTGGGGGGTGGCACGGGGACACAGCCCTGGACAGAATGGGGACACAACAGGACCTGGGGACCTGGGGGAGGCTGCAAGGCTGAGCACATCCAGGGACAGACTCCCGGCTGGCTCCTGTGGGAGGTCGGCGAGAAGCCCGGTGCCAGGCCAGGCAGCTTGTGCGACCGACTGCGCGGCAAGCTGTCGGTGCTGGCGGCACTTGGCAGGCGGCGGCGGCAAGGGGATGTTTGCAGACTGCCGCCGACAGCTTCCCGGATGAAATCTCCCCGGTTAGACTACTCAGAAGTGAGCAGTGCCTGCAGGCGGGTCTCGGAGGAGCGAGAGGCGGCAGAGGGGCTGCTGGGGCTGTCGGGTCCTTCTGGGGCCTCCCACTGGGCCTGCCCACCCGCTGTGGGCCTGGCCTGGGGCCTGGATCCAAGCCAGCACCCCCACACCCTGCAGGCTCCTGGATTCTGGTCTCTGGGGCAGTCGTGTTAGGCACCAGGGGAGAATTTGGGGGAGGGCTCTGTGGGGAGGGAGCCTCGGACCCCTCTGATGGGAAGCCCCTCTGCCTATTATCCCAGGTGGGCCGCACAGCTGAGGTGGGCAGAACCCCCCCCCCCCATCCATTTAGGGTAAATTCCTTCCCCAGGAGCTGTGGGAGCATCTGCAGGCAAAGACGGGGCAAGCTTGCCGTGGTGGCGTTGCCATTTGTCACTGTTTCTGTTTTTTAATTCAGGAAGCACACGCACAAAGC